CCTAGGTCGAAATTTTTGAGGGGGGGGGGGGCGCGCGCAGGCCCCGGAGGTTTGGGCAATCCTTGCGGCGATGTCCCGGGACGAACGGCAACCGCTGTCCACTACAGAACCTTCAGAGAAGGCTGCAGGTATTCGCAGAGGAATTTCTCCCCGAATCCCAGTGCGGGTTCCGGCGAGGGCGTGGCTGCTCTGACATGATCTTCACCGTCCAACAGCTCACGGAAAAGTCAATCGAACATCAGGCCAAGGGATTTTTTTGTGTTTATCGACCTGAAGAAGGCCTATGATTCAGTGCCCAGGGGGTGTCTGTGGCAGGTCCTCGGCCGTGCGGGAGTACCAGAAAAGCTTATCAACATCATCCGGTCATTCCACGACCCCATGTCAGCATCGGTGCAGTTCAACAACATATTATCAGACCCGTTCAGCATTGGCAATGGTCTTCGCCAGGGGTGCTCTATGGCGCCGGTCCTTTATATATTTTTTATGTGGGCCGTGATGACCCAATGCCAGCACCGCATCAGGAGATTTGACTGGGTTGGCTTCGAGCTCCGCTCAGCATACAGCAGCGATCTATACCGTAAACCCCGCCGTGACGACCAACACCATTGCTTAACAGATTCCCAGTTTGCTGACGACTCTTGTCTATTCGCTACGACTCGGTCTGGAGCGGGGGCAGCATTGTGCTGTCTTCACGAGGTGGCGTCGGGATTCGGCTTGACCATCAGTGCAACGAAGACTCAGTTTGTAGTTGTTGGCCCCGACATCACGCCTACTGACCGCGCTCCCCTCCAACTTGGTCAAGCGGAGGTGGAATGCGTACGGCATTTCCAGTACCGACAACACACACACACACACACACAAACACACACAAATACACACACACATGCACATACACACATGCACATACACACATGCACACAAACACATGTACACACACACACACCTTGAAACCTTGAAACCTTGAAACTGCCACCTAAAGGTGATGCAGTGCCTCAAAGAGGCAAGGAGGGCAGAGTTACTTCTTGCATTTGTGTTGAGCCAGGTACCGGAGACGTGTGAACTTCCGAGAGCAGGTCGGGCATGGGATGGTGCGGCGCTCTGAGCCAGAGCTGCATGTTCTGCGGTTGCAGTGGCAGTTGTGCCGGCGGTGCCCAGCTTTGCTCCGGAAACAGCGGTCACAGGTGTGGCAGTGGTAATGACATTGACTGCAATCAGGTGGGCGAGGTGCAACAATCTCTGGAACTGGAGCGTCACCAAGACTGGGAGAGCAGCTGTGCACAGCAAATCCACCTCGGCTAGCAAACCAACGATGGCACGTTTCGCACAACACAGCACCGGCCTGTTCATGGATCGGCTTCAGTCGCTCTTCCCTGCATTTGTGCCGCCGAAGTCCGCTTTCACTGGCAAAGAGTCGCTCACAGACCGCACAACACACTGACTTGGCTGTCGTTTCAAGGCGTAAGTGCCGTGCAACAATAGCATCCGAGATGGACTGGATCCACTCGCCACGTTCAGCTGCGAGGTCGTACTAACCGGTGCATAGACCGAACGCCTTGAGGTCATCGCGTACCACATCACGCCATCGACGCCTGGGGCCATGAGCAGGGCGTGGTGTATGGAGCCACGAGAACAACACTGCCTTTGGAAGCCGGTGGTCGTCCATCCTGGCAATGTAGCCGTCGACGGGCAACCATGTCAGCAACTGGCTCTGTAGCGCACATTCTATGCAGCGAGGCAGATGACAGGTGGTCCTCCCACTGTTTGGAACGCGAGATGCCGAGAATGACACGAACGCAGCGGTTGTGGAATTGTTCAAGGCGACGTATGTCGGCACGCAACAGTGTCCAGTTCTCAGCCCCGTACAACAGCACCGACAACACACAGCATCTGTACGTGTGTTGTTTCGTCTTAGATGTTAGTGAAGTGTTCCGAAAAACTGACGAGTAGAGGCTGCCAAAGGCCTTAGATGCAGCAGCTATGCTGTTGGACACATCGGTGTAGAATCGTCCGTCTGGTGTTACCACTGAGCCGAGATATGTGAACTGGCTGACATGCTGGATGGCGTTGCCTTGTACGCTTAGCGCGGTACAGTCACTGTCGTTGATCTGATGCCCAACAGCCATGAACACTGTCTTTGCCATGTTGAGAGACAGCCCGAATGCTCCACTGACCTCCGCAAATATCTCAAGCATACGCTGAGCATCCGAGTGGCTGGGTGCAAACAATGCTGCATCATCAGCAAACTCACCATCTGTGATGACCATATCATTACCACGCTTAGATCTCTTGAAAAGCTGACCATCGGCACAGGTACGGAGTGGAAAACCAGACACTCCACGCTCTTGGACGCGTGCGCACCAAAGTTCCATCACTGCACCAGCAAACAAGTTGAAAAGGACTGGTGCCATTGTACACCCTTGGCGCAGTCCGTTGCACACTGGGAAGCCTTCAGTGGGGGAACCATTGACGATGATCGTGGCTGTCATGTTGTCGTGAAAAGACTTCAGAAGGCTGACCAGTTGCTCCGGGACTCCCAGCTTCAGCAGGACAATCCACAGTGCAGCACGCGGAACAGAATCGTATGCCTTCCTCAAATCGACAAACACCAGGAATCCCTTGGATTGGTGCTCGTGGCACTTCTCCACAACCCGGCGAACAACAAACGTCATGTCCGTGCGGGAGCGACCTTTTCGGAAACCACACTGTGATTCAGGCAGCACACTTTCGGCGACTTTCTGCAATCGGTTTTGCAGCAGGCGTCCGAATAGCTTGCCAATGACGTCGAGGAGTGCGATGCCACGCCAGTTGTCGCAGCTAGTGAGGTCACCCTTCTTGGGTATCGGTATCATCTCAGCATTCACCCAATCTTGCGGTACTACACCCTCCTCCCAAACCGCGGTAATGAGCTTAAACAGATTGGCATAGAATAGGTCGCAGTTGTATTTGACCATTTCCGGTAGAATGCCGGAGCTTCCAGCAGCTTTCCCGTTCGTAAGATAGCGAAGGCAGCGCTGGGCCTCTTCAGCATTGGGTGGGGTGGCCAGGTGTTCCATGATGTTGCGCTGCTGGACCAAGTCGATTTCAGATCGGACAAAGCCGCTTGGAAGGTTCAGCAGCTTTTCGAAATGTTCAGACCAGCGGTTCTGCTGTGCCTCAACGGACGAGCATGTTGAGCCATCAGTCTGTCTGATCAGGCACGACTTAGTGGGAATCAATCCGCGCCGGGCAGTCTGTAAATCCCGGATGCTGTTCCACACAGCCTCACACACAAACTTCCTAGATTCGGCATCAGACGCAGTCTTACGGAACCAGTCCTCCTTAGCACTGCATACAGCATCCCTTGCAGCTGAGCGCGCGCGCGCGGACAAACTCTCGCCGGACCAGAGGTGCTGGATCTGCTAAAGATTTCTGGAATAGAGTGTTACGATGTAAAAGGAGGGGCTCGAGAGTGGCAGAACTGGCTGAGAACCAATCTGGCTGACGACGGCGACTCTTGCCTAGGACAGAGGTAGCTGCTTTAACTGTGGCGTCCCGTAGTGAACTCAATTGATCCTGAACTGAGATCCCTGGTGCAGCGTCTTGCAGACAGTCGGATGAGGTATGGTACCACTCAGCCACAGTTGCTTGCCTTACTAAATCATCATCCTCTGATGCAGTTGGTTCAGCAGGTCCGAGCTGTGATACATCAAATCGACGGCGATCAGGGGCCTTGCTCTTTGGCGGGTAGAAACGCCGGCGGCAACCAAGTGACAACGTTAGCCCAACAAGTTTGTGATCGGTCCCACACTCAGCAGACCGGTACACACGACAATCTGTACAGCGCTGAAAATCCCGCTGCCGGGTGATCACATAATCAATACAGTGCCAGTGCTGTGAACGTGGGTGCTGCCAGGTAACTTTGTACGTATTACAGAGTCGAGAGTTGAACATGGATAGAACGCTCAACAGTTCCTCACCAGCTTCATTCATGGTACCAACGCCATACGGACCACGCACTTGCCTCCATGCGTCCTCTTCATGACCTGGGCTGCTGCCAACACGGGCGTTGAATTCACCAAGTACGACGTACAAATCGCGCTCCGGGATGGATAACAGACAATCACGAAGTTCGCCATAAAATTTCTCCTTTTCATGGCGAGGCCTCGCGAACGTTGGAGCGTAGCAGGAAATGATATGCAGCCACTGATCGCCAAACAACAGTTTCGCCACAACAACTCACGAGCTGACAGCTCGCCACTGACACCCGCCGTTTTTCCACGCTCGTTGGGCCAACCCTAAAAGAACGATTGCGACTCCCTCGCCGCGATATGCGGGCATTCCTCGCTCTGTTGGGACGGGGCGTCCTGCATTTAGAACAGACGCTCCACTGATCAAATACTCGTGATCGCCAAACCATTTCGTCTCCTGAAGACCTGCGACTGAGAAATTCAAATTTTGAATTTGGTGAAGAACAAATTGAATTTTTCTGTCTTCCGCGACGGGCAAGCTTCTTTCGTGACGAGCTGTCTCGATGCTTCCATCATTCTCCACTAAGCTGTTGACGTTCCAGGTACAAAACTTCACACAAACGCTTCGTTTCTCCGTCTCCTACTTCGTGCAAGGGGGTCTACCTGGAGGTTTGCAAAACCGTCGCAGGTGTTGTGGGTACGTGGCGGGTTGCAAGTGGCAACATCAGGCGTTGCCCCGTCATTGCTTCCCATGTCTCCACGCACCATACTCACAACCTAGCCAGGGGTGGCCCTAGGCCACCCCTGGGGATATTATAGCTGAGCAAACTTGTGAACCAGCAGAGCTCAAAAAAGTGCTTCCTACTACAACTACTCATATACACACCATACACCCACACACACACACACACACACACATACACACACACATACAAACACACACACAAACACACACACACACACACACACACACACACACACATTGAACCCGTATCAAACTTGGTGTTGTGTAATGAGGAAGTACAGCGTGCTTTACGTAAAAGCCAATCTCACCATTTTTAGCTGGCGTGCGTGTGGCCTTACTCCTAAGCTCATTGAGGTACTTGGTTGCACTCTTCTTGATGCCTTGTTCTTTCAGCCACCGATTCGTCTTCTGCAGGAATTCTATCTCAGCCTTTTTTGCCAAGGCCGCCTACACAAGAAAACAAATCATCCAATAGTAGTGATAAATGACCACAACTAGCAAAAACAACAGTGGCCACAGCACTAGTACACAAGGAGACAGAAAAATAGGTCATTTCCCCACCCCACTCCCATAACATCATACCTCATGTACTTGGTCAAAGTTGCACATTTCATGAAGATGTATAGGTCAAAATTGCCTTAGTAGCCCATGCCTGGAAGTTTCCATTTTCCTACAAACTGTAGTACAATGTAGGACAATTAGCTTCCAAGATATGCTGCAGCATATACACTCAGCGTATACAACTGAAACCAGTGAGGGTTTGACTTGAGAAAATATCATGCATGCTTATAAAAGAACACCTGTCCAAATAGTGCCCAGTGCACTGGATGCACTTCTCCATACACCTGGTTGCTTAGTAACTGAAACACAGAGGAACAACCCAGTCGTAAGCAGTTTCGATTCCCTGGATGTAAATAGAGTAACCCCACCTCCACCAAACGTGCTCTCTGGCCGACCTCACACACCAGAAGATGACTCCAAGTCGTAGCTACTGACAAATAGTTTTTTCCTTCATACAGTGCTGTTTTGGCCACTATAGGTCTCATCAGTGAAGGTTGAGAACAATGAATGGCTAGAATAAATTTGAAAGCATGGTGTATACGTAGAATGAAATGAAGGAGCGCGATCCCGCAATCAGAGGTCACAGACGTGCGATGTCCTAACACGCGGAGAAAAGGTGCAAAATGGCACTGCTTCGTGCCATACGTGTGCTGAGAACATCATTGAAACTTGCGCAACCGATTCTAGCACTCTGAAATACAATCATGTAGTGTACATGTACTGAAAATAAGGGTGACAGTTCCGACATAGCGCTCCAGCCCAGTACTCCCAGTACTTTATTTATAGACAGGCCGAAAGCTGCTGCTTACCCTTTGGGAACAAGTATTTGCGCCGTTCAACCAGCAGCCAACGGAGTTGGAGAAAAAAGAGGAGAGACGAAGAGCAACGACGATGAAGAGCTACGACTAGAACAGTATCTAACGACCATGTGGCGGGTGGAGTGAATGCCCCACGGGCCTCTCAAGTGTCCACAAGCGTGGCCGTAAAACGTGTATTTTTCAACACCATACCAGAACCAGAAACAGAACTATAATTATGAGACAACAGCCGCATGACGCCCGTCTATGTGACGACGGCCCAGTATAGTGGTGAGCGAGTTTACGGAGCGAATGCCCCAGGGGCCTCTCTCGTGACTACTTGCAGTACTGCGTTGGAGCGCTATGTCGGAAATTTCACCCTTATTTTCAGTACGTGAATGCTACATGATTGTGTTTCAGAGTGCTAGAATCTGTTGCGCAAGTACGGTATCAATGATGCCCTCAGTACACCTATGGCGCGTAGCAGTGTCATTTTGCACCTTTTCTCCACATGTTAGCACATTGAACATCTGTTACCTCTAATACTGTAAAAGCCAGATAAATAAAGAAGTGCTAACTCTAACGAGTTAACGAGGAGAAATCTGTTGTTAAAATAGAAATTGTTATACAGAAATCGATACATATACTGTCCTATTGAGCGTTGAGAATGAGTGAGAATCGTTACCTTTGGTACACGTAAACCAGTCAATTTTGGGAAATCGTTATATATGTGCCTCGTTAGGATAATGGCTTTTACAGTAGCGGGATCGCGATTCTTCATTTTATTCTGTATTCAGAACGAAGTCTGTCTGGTTGTGCAGGAGACTACCAATCAGTGACGTTCCCGCCAAGGGCCTTTTCAGAGTTTATAGTCCGCTCAATTATAATTTTACTACTCTTTGAGGCGCGTACAACTCCCTGTACGCATTCTAGTACGGTGCAAATAATGAACTCTGCATAAAAATGTACGGTGTACTACAAAAAGCTACGCATTTCAGAAGTGTGTACGGTTTTTTGCCTCCCATACTCTTTCATCTGTGCGATTTTCCTTTGTCAACAGCTTGCGGAACCCTATAAAACCGAAGATCAAAGTCATTGTAGGTACCGAAAAGGGGCTCTCGAAGCCCTAAATAGCTCCACAAGCTATGAATAAGAATGAAGCTCCCAATAAGAGCCCAGCATTTCATTTGCTTCTATTCTCCTTTTAGTAGTCCTCAGTGGTGCTGAGTTACCACGCCCATTCTCTCTGCACACAAACAACACACCTATCCAATATCAGGTTACACATGCATAATGCAAGTGAGACAATGAATGTAACCTCGTTCTAAAATAGTTAGTGCATGGCAGGGAGGGCCCAATGGCTTCTTTGTGCCCTTCAGGTTAGCTCTCGGACCTACCGCCCTCAGGCTAACCTGTCGGGCACTAACAAGCCATAACGCCCTCCCTGCCGTGCACTAACCTAAAAATAAAACCTTGCTTTCAAATAATTATTAATTCTAGCCATTCCATGGCCAGCAATCGAGGACATCTGAGAGTTGTAATTTTTGTACTCCTCCGAGGTGTGATTTTTGGCGTGCTGGGCCAAGCACAAGGAAGCCATCTGCAACAAAACTGCAGAAAATGGTTGTTGTTTGATCCTTTGGTGTAATCTTTGTTTCTAGTCGAAGCTAGTTGCTGTTTGGAGCAGAAACGCTGAAATTGACTATTTTCTGCATGTACTCATGTACTCAGGCATGCAGTCTCACTCGTATTTTAGCTCTTTTTTCTGGAATGGATGCTGCTCTGCGCCCCTTGGTGAACACTTCCTGCGCTCGTGGAGCAGCTGAAAAGGATCACTGGTATGTCTTGTTCCTGGTTCGAAAGTGGAGAGTCGACTTTTGTGCCTTGAAAAGGGAGTAGAGAGCGATAAAGGTACGTCTGTGGCTTATTTCTGAGTGCTCCTCGTACATTTTTGATCGTGATAGAAATTCTCAGACCAAAGTCAGACCAAAGTCAGCGCGATGATGGCCGTACAGTTTTCTTGTGGATTTTTTAGTTGTTTCATCTCGTATCTATGTCAGTATCGTGATGGTGAAGTGGAGAGGGTGATTTTCTTCCTCTAGGCTTCGTTCGGCCGACTTTGCTTCGTCCTCGTTGAAAAGTGATCCTGAAAAAAAGGTCGATTCGCAAAATTATGTTGATTTTCAATGTACGTGATGACATGCGATTGCTGGCTATGAATATTCTCAACCTTCACTGATGAGACCTATAGTGGCCGAAACAGCACTGTATGAAGGAAAAAACTATTTGTCAGTAGCTACGACTTGGAGTCATCTTCTGGTGTGTGAGGTCGGCCAGAGAGCACGTTTGGTGGAGGTGGAATTACTTGATTTATAAACAGGCCAAAAGCTGCTGCTCACCCTTTGAGTACCTGTATGTACATGAAAAAATAACCTAACGCAGTCGAGGGAGACAGAATGTGTCTGCTGCAGAAAAAAGTGTGGCATTACTGTAGAAGGTCCAAATCATTATCCAGCAAGCTTCTAGAAATGATGCAGAGCTTGAGTGTACCTTGCTTGGACAGACGAGGAGATTTGGGCGAATCCAACCATATGCTCAGAACGACATAAACAACCAAATGAAAAAATTAATGTGTACAGTAGAGCATATTGGTGCTGAAGTGATTTTTCTCTGTTCTCCGGCTATGTGCAACTGCTGGCCTTCAGATACCAGTCGCAATCACTTCAGGACTGACTTGCGCCAGATATGCTTTGTCTCTCTTGTAGTAGTAGTAGCCTGGCTTCAACCTGTAGGCGCAGTTGCTGTGTTCCGTGGAGTTTGTGTGTGTGGGGGGGGGGGGGGGAGTGCATGCCTGCAGTGGGTGTAGCGGGGTGTGAACAATAATTTTGAACAAAATTTGGCTCTCGCTCGCAAATTGAAAAGAATGAAATGAAAAGTGTTTTTGTTCTTTTTTTAGGAAAAGATATGGTTAGTGAGAACATCAAGCGCTTACCTTGGAATATTTCTTCTCTTGTATAACCTGGAAAGGATTGACTTTCGGTTTACTGACGTCATTGTCTGGCAACGGTTTCTTCTTCTTCTTCTTCTTCTTCTTCTTCTTCTTCTTCTTGACTTTCTTTACCTGAGCATGATGTACATAAGCACAATACATCAGAGCTATACATTGTATGCTGGTATGACTATTGCTACAAAATAATATCACACTGATGAAACCAGTCCTGAAAGACCCGCCAGTCCTCTCCAAGTGAATATGCCAGTTGTCCTCATACTTGAAGTAGGTGACAATGAGAATGTGGTGTAATCCAGGAATTGTACAGGAGCACCTAGTCTCAAGTGAGCCTAGGCATTCTCCTACTCTGCGAACAACGAGAGAGAGAGAGAGAGAGAGAGTGTGTGTGTGTTTTATTTTTTTATTTTTTTTACTATGTTCACATACCCAACTCGTAAATAATAATGAAAGACAATGGTACTGAGACAAGGACAAACGTGACAACTACTGAGAAGGGGTTGCACCGAGATGCAGCGGTGATGGTGGGGCATTGATGGCTCTGCCGACCTGAGGTCTCGGCATCACGGCCAGAAACACGCACCAAAAACAAAAGATAGAGCTGTAAGGGTCAGCAAAAATAAAAAGAAAGCAAGGGCAAACAACAGCTAGTACTAGTGTGCAGCGCATTTGTAGCAATGGGAGTCGTTGACGGGGCACTAGAATGTAGGTGGGTCGACAGGCAGAATGTCCGTAGACCATCGCCAATCCTGTCGGCGGAGGTACTCGTTGACGTTGCATTTAAACTTTTGAAGATTTTTGCGAGTTGGGGCGGAGTCTAGAAAAGCTGGCGGCAGGGAATTCCACAGCTGGATTGCACAATGTGGGAAACTGCGGAGAATGGTGTCTGGCGCTTGACGCGGTAGGGGATTTCGTAGCTGGTAACTGTGGCCGGCGGCCATGCGGAGATCATTTCGAGTGCGAGTGGCGTCACGGGGCTCAAGCCTTGGTGGGAGGACTGCTAGCAATTGAGTCGGACCGGTGATGAAATGCAGTTTGTACGTGTATGTTAATGCAGCAACGTATCGCCGTAGGCTGAGGCTCTGGAGCTCCGTCCCGGGACCAATGATGCACAATGCACGGCGTCGGATGCTATCTAGGCGTGCAAGATGGGAGGGAGCAGCTCCCATCCAGACGAGCGGAGCATACTCCAAAACGGGCCGTACAAACCCCTTGTACACCGTGAGGCGGCCTTCTCGGGAGAGATAGGGCCCAGCTCGCCGCAGGAGGCCCAAACGCTGTTTGCCACGTATAGACACTGCGCGGATGTGCTCCGCGAAGGACAGCTTCGGATCAAAAGTCACCCCAAGAGCTTTATTGTGGATGACTCTGGCACAGGGTTGCCTCCAAAGAGGAGAGAGGACAAGGCTAGCTGCGCTCTTTGCAGCGTGACTGTCATAGCCTGGGATTTCGACGGCTCAAACGCTACACGCCATTCCTTGCCCCAGTCTGACAGACGATTGACGGTGTCCTAAAGCAAGGCAGCAGCAGTGGGGAAGTCGTTACGGAGAAGAGTGTACAATGTCGTATCGTCAGCATAGGCTTCCAGCTGCGTATTCCCAGCAAGGCATGTTGATACGTCGTCAATGTATATGAGAAGCATGGTTGGCCCCAAGATGCTGCCTTGTGGGACTCCCGCCTTGATGGGCTATGGACGGGAGGTTGCACCACCGACGACACACTGTATTCTTCGGTTAGACAGGTACGATGTCAGCCATGCAAGGAGGATTCCTTGGATGCCACATTGCTGTAGCTTGAAGAGGACACCTGCGTGAGAGACCTTGTAGAAGGCTCCAGCAATGTCAACTGCAAGTACGCGTGCTGCACCCCCGTGTCCGATAGAGGATGCCCAGGAGTGGTGTAGCGCAGTAAGAGCGTCGGCTGTACCCAGATTCCGTCGGAAGCCAAACTGATTCGCTGCAAGCAGTGAGTTACCCTCGAGGTAGTTCGTAATTTGCATGTTGATAATGGTCTCCATTACCTTGGATATCACACTAAGGAGAGATACGGGGCGGTAGTTCCTGAGCTGTGAGCGAGATGAGCGTTTATGCACAGGAACAACATTGGCGAGCTTCCAGGCCTGAGGTTGGTATCCATACCGGAAGCACAATGAGAAAAGCTTGGTCAGGACCGGTGCGAGCACCGAAGCGCATTCTTTCAGGACACGGGGGGGGGGGGGGGAGATGCTGTCCGGCCCCGTGGCTTTCGACGTGTCGAGACGGCGCAGGAGGCGGTGAACATTCTGGATGCGGAAGTGGACGTGGGTGAGTGGTGGATGTGGGTGAGCAGGCGCTGGGGTTCCAAGGGAGGCTCGATGTAAGTCCCTGTCACCCAGGCTGCACTTGCCAGCAAAGAAGTGACCAAAGCAGTCAGCCTTCTCCTTGCTGGTGATGTGCTTCCCGGCATTGTCGAGGAGGAAGGGATGTCAGAGTTTCGGCCAAGACCGCATGCTCCTTTCAGGTTTCACCACCATGCCTTGTCGCGAAGCGACCTGCATGTGAGTCGGGCCCGAAGGTGCCGTTCCTTCTCCTGCCTGGAGTGTTGAAGTGTGGTGGTAGCGCGGGTAACAGAGTCGATGAAGGATTGCTTCTTGACGTCATTACCGAGGTCGTGCCACCATTTCCTCCATTCTCTGTCCTTGATACGCATCACTTGTGTGCACTCAGGGGTCCACCACTTGGGATCAGATGAGCGGATGACGAGAGTCTTATGGGGAATGAACTGGTCCATGCCTGCAGCGATGGTATTGGTGACTTGTAAGCAAGACAACTCTGGATCATCTGTGATAATGGAGGCCCAAGGGACAGCCTTGAGGTGTGCTCTGAGTCGCCCCCAGTCAGCACGCTCGTAACGCCACACAGTACGCGTGGTGGCCTCTCCCCGGCATGGTGAAATGGTCAGGAATTGAGCTATCACAGTTCCATGATATGAGCGTCCTAAAGGGGCAAGTACAGTGGTGCTGATTGGTTGTTGGAAAGTGGACATGATTAGGTCTAGTGTGTTGGCACCTCGAGTGGGCTCTCGAACATATTGCGTGAGCTCGTGGGTGATACAAAGATCCTCGAGGGCATCCCGACCGGGGTTAACTTCGCGCTACCAAGCCAATCTGCACTATGCACGTTGAAATCCCCAGCGAGGATTACGTTCGGGGACAGCTCTTTGGCCTGATGTAGTGTATCATCAAGTGAATTGATGAGACAGAGGTCGGTGGGGCTACAGGAGCCTGGACAGTACACAGAGCCGATCACCAAGCTTGTGCCACCACGGAGGTGGACTTTAACCCAGAGTGTTTCATGTTCTGCAGACTGGAGTTGGTCTAGATGAGCAGAAGCAAGGGTGGACTTGATCCACACAGCAATACCTCCTCCGTGCTCGTTCCGGTCTCTGCGATATGTGACGCCGTATCCAGGGATGGACGAGTCAAGGCTAGTTATGGCATCAGCAGAGAATTTAGTTTCAGTGATAATTGCTACATCTATGTCGTGCTGGTTGAGTGCATGCATCAGGTCGTCCAGCTTGTTACGAAGGCTACAGGCATTAGTCACCAGCAGTTTGAGTGTGTGTGTGTGTGTGTGTGTGTGTGTGTGAAAGAGAGAGAGAGAGAGAGAGAGAGAGACAGACAGACAGACAGACAGACAGACAGACAGACAGACAGACAGACAGACAGACAGACAGACAGACAGAGAGAGACAGAGACAGACAGAGACAGACAGAGACAGACAGAGACAGACAGACAGACAGACAGAAACAGAGACAGAGAGACAGAGACCGACAGAGACCGACAGACAGAGTGACAGAGTGACAGGGACAGAAACAGAGAGACAGAGACAGAAGGGGGGGGGGGATAAAGCGGCAGAAATGGCTTTCCACAGAAGTTGTATTTCCCGCCGGCCTAGCGCAGCGAGAAAGGCGAGATATGATTTCTCGCGCAACATTTTCGGTTGCAAATATGGCATCAAGGGCGTCGGAACCGCACCGGCCGGGGCGGCCATGGCCGCCCCACTTTTTCGGCCGTTTTTTTTTTTTTATATAAGTTTCCGTGCATGGCACGGTAAGTGAAGTTAGCAACCCACCAACAATTACATTCCTAACATAATTTGCACGTACTTGCCATAGCGCATCACGTGCCCGTGCAGAACACGCACTCCGAACTCCCGCGCCCCGGCACGGGACCACGCGGAGCATGCGCATTACTCCGGCTCTCGATGCTGCTTCTTCTTCATCCTTGCTGCGCCAACAGTCAGATCGCTTGACAACCTTGGCCAGTTTTTGAGCTTGCTCTTCGCTTTGCTGTGCTGACGGTCAAATTGTTTGACTATCGCGGCCAGTTTCTGATCAATATCCGATCAACCAGGTCTCTGTCAGTGAGCGATGTCCAGCCAAAACGCTCCGTTTGCTTTGCTGCGCTGACGCAGTGACGGTCAAATTGTTTGACAATCGCGGCCAGTTTCTGATCAATATCCGATCAACCATGTCTCTGTCAGTGAGCGATGTCCAGCCATAACGCTCTTTGCTTTGCTGCCTTGACGGTCAAATTGTTTGACAATCGCGGCCAGTTTCTGATCAATATCCGATCAACCATGTCTCTGACAGTGAGCGATGTCCAGCCAAAATGCGCTCTGCTGAGCTGCGAAACGCACTGGCATCCCGCAATTATTTAGACCCGACAGGAACAAAACCTACTCCGCGGACTCGCCTGCTCGAGTTGAAGTTGGCTCCAGACTACTACTGTACGCGAGGACTTGGCCGCTCCGGCAGCGGAGCAGAACCTAGCCGAGGCAACTGCAGCCCCATCCCTGGCCTGGGAGACTTTAGTCGGGAGGAGGTTCGCGACGCTTGGAGCACGTATTGTGCGACTGACGCAGCAGCACACCCCTCCAGGGCCCCCGGAGCTGTTTTCGCACCAGCCCATAATCTTGAAGATGGCTCGGAAATTTAGGTCCCTGATGCTGAGCTCTCCTCTCTAAAGCTGACACGAAGTATGCCTGGCGGCTTTGGTCTGTTTCCCCTCATGTCTGGCCCCGGCTTGGCATTTTTTGGAAGGTTCGTACCATGTAGATAAGGCACCACCATTTGGCCTTAGATCCTCCCCCTTCCGTTCAACAGACCGGCTGATGTGGACTCAGCCCAACGGCGACTCTGCAATGATCCTGCTAAGTCTCTTACTCGTCTTCGAGTACAGCGCTTCCGGACTCTCAGCCCATGTACCGACGCAGTGCTGACACACCCTGCACAGTCCACCCTCCAGCAGTTGACGACGCAACCATGGACCTCATCCGCCAGGGCCTGGCGGCCAGTTCCAGCATAACATGCGCTTCGCTGCCGCGCTCCGAACACTTGTCGCCCTGCGCCAGGGCAAGCCACACTCAGGGACTGATCAGTGCCGGCAGCATTGTTCCAGATCCTGTACTTTGAGTGCATTGCCCACTGTGCTAATGGCTAGCCGCATTGGACGGCACTCACATCAAATGCAGTGTAATAGTAATGCAGATAAATCCTGTTTGGGTCAGGTTGTCAGCGCTGCCGGACTCGCATCCCAACTGCCGAAGTGGTGCCGACACAACCAGCGCAGTCCACCCTCCAGCAGTTGACGACGCAACCATGGACCTCATCCGCCAGGGCCTGGCGGACAGCTCCAGCATGGCATGCGCTTCGCTGCAGCACTCCGAACGCTTGTCGCCCTGCGCCAAACATCAACAGGCTACTACAAACAGCCTTGCCTAACAGACGTGCGCAGCCACAGCCTCAGACGAGGCGCTGCAACGCTGGCAGGCAAAGCTGGCGTGCCTGAGTACGTGCTGAAGACCGCCGGCAGGTGGCAAAGCTCTGCCTACCTCCGCTATGTCCGCACCCCTGTCGCAGACAGAGCATTGCCAGCGGCATTGTTCTAGTCTCTGCCCGTTATGCTAATGGGTAGCCGCATTGGACGGCCCTAGCAACAGCTGTAGTGTACATATGATATACCTATTATACTATAACTATAGTAACGCTACTATAACTATAGTAATGCCGATAATTCCTGTTTGGGTCATGTTGTATTTTGGGAGAACGGTAGGGATCGTGGGTCAGGCCGGCATTGAGCCAAGTGCGCCTACATGTGCTCACAAGTGCATCCCTACCGTATGCGTGTATTGACACGCCGGGCAATTGTTGCCCCCATTAGCCCTGGCATTGGCCAGTCTAACGCACATTGGTGCTTGCGATACTACGGCATTGGTCCATAGTATTGCATACTGCATGCGGCAATTGTTGCCTGCGATACTACGGCATTGGTCCATAGTATTGCATACTGCATGCGGCAATTGTTGCCTGCGATACTACGGCATTGGTCCATAGTATTGCATACTGCATGCGGCAATTGTTGCCTATGCCCTGATAATACAACGCGTAATAGCTCCCAAACAGGTCGGCTTGTGTGGTTGTTAAATATAAGTTTCCGTGCATGGCACGGTAAGTGAAGTTAGCAACCCACCAACAATTACATTCCTAACATAATTTGCACGTACTTGCCATAGCGCATCACGTGCCCGTGCAGAACACGCACTCCGAACTCCCGCGCCCCGGCACGGGACCACGCGGAGCATGCGCATTACTCCGGCTCTCGATGCTGCTTCTTCTTCATCCTTGCTGCGCCAACAGTCAGATCGCTTGACAACCTTGGCCAGTTTTTGAGCACCACCACCCACCCCATCATCTCTAACCATCATTCTATTCTAAGCCATCCCGGAAGGGAGAACGGTAGGGATCGTGGGTCAGGCCGGCATTGAGCCAAGTGCGCCTACATGTGCTCACAAGTGCATCCCTACCGTATGCGTGTATTGACACGCCGGGCAATTGTTGCCCCCATTAGCCCAGGCATTGGCCAGTCTAACGCACATTGGTGCTTGCGATACTACGGCATTGGTCCATAGTATTGCATACTGCATGCGGCAATTGTTGCCTGCGATACTACGGCATTGGTCCATAGTATTGCATACTGCATGCGGCAATTGTTGCCTGCGATACTACGGCATTGGTCCATAGTATTGCATACTGCATGCGGCAATTGTTGCCTATGCCCTGATAATACAACGCGTAATAGCTCCCAAACAGGTCGGCTTGTGTGGTTGTTAATTTTTTTTAGCACACTGCAACAAAGCGCGAAGATCTCAGCGTAAACGTGGCAAATCCTTGTCCCCCATCGTGGTTTGTTGCAGAATCAAAAGTCCATGTACACTGAAATGGCACCAAATGCCTGGGAATGCTTGCAATTGGCTTCAATTTTTGAATTTTTTTCCTGGGGGAGGGTAATGTTTGTCCCGGATCGTAGCATCTTCTTGGTTTTTTGCAGAATCAAAAAGTCTTTCATTGTAGTTACCGTACACCGAAATGACACCAAATGCCCGGAAATGCTTGCAATTGGCTTTAAATTTTGAATTTTTTTCCCGGGGGAGGACCCCTGGACCCCCCCCCCCCTTCCATGGCCGCCCCACCTCCAAAGTCCTTCCGACGCGCCTGGGCATCTAGTGTGTTCTTTATCGTCGTTTCTTTTCCTGACTTCTTCAGTCATATTCGAGTCTCACCAGTGTGGACCGGCTTATTCGATCTCAGTAGGATTTTCCTTGAACCAACTCTTTTGTCAGAATGCCTCGAACGTGAAACGCTTCTTTCTCAGTTCCTTTGACATGTCCCCCGATTACATCGTCGTCAGCGTATTCTGCATTCCTGGTCGGCTCGCCCCGTGTCCCCCAAACCGTCAGCTTCGTCATCCAATTAACCAACTGAGGCGGACTGGTACCCTTACGCGACTCGTGGAAAGCCAGCAGTTGAAACTGCAACACCCACAGGACAAGATCCAGGAGCTGAGGACATCGTCTGAAACGGGCCGTGACCCCAAACTCCAGCAAACAAAAGCCCCGCTCGTGGCGAAAAGGCTGCGAACAACAGTTTGAACTAAAAATATAACTGCTCGCAACCAAGGACAGCACCAAGCCCCAGGTCCGTGCAAGACACCAGCAAGGCACTATGTCATCCATCGACCAATGCGCGAGCCTGATGTACACATGAAACAAACCTCTGAGAATTGCGGAGGAAAACATATGGGATAGTGTGGTCATGATTTGGTGCTGGTGATTAAGCCGCACGCAAAACATGCAGAGCAAAGAATCATGTATCTCCAGCAAAAGCAGCGACCACTGCAGCAGCTACAGTAGCCTGCAGCCGCAGCTGCCACCTGGCAATCGACCGTCGTCAGCCGCGAGATAACGAGGCCAGCGCACGGCTTGCCGCCAGTGATTATCCGGATAAGCTGACTTTTACTGTATGCTTTTTCTCATGCGTTAAACAGATTGGTGCCGTGGTGTATTCTAGGCGGCTCCGTTCGAGCCCTGTTGCCCTGTTGTGGTCATGAATGAGATTACTTGTTTTCGTACTCCAAGCATCCTCTGTCATGTAATGGGTGTTGTCTCTCCCTTTTCCTCCTTCTGGCACACACCGAATAATTCGGTAACTAGAGTAGCGCCGCCAACCATGCCAGATTTATATGTTGTGGTACTCAGGGATCAACGGATTTATGTTGTGGTATATAATGCTTTTGTCGTGCGTATTTGTAAAGTCGAATACGCTCCAGCTGATCGTAATCATTGATTTAAAGAAGTAAAGCAACAGAGTGAGCTGGTGGACTGGTCTTGATCAAATCACATCACGACACATTGTAACACGGCAAGGGAAAATGGGAGTACTGTACACGTACTTCAACAGTACATCAACACATCTGGGATAAGCAGTAGCACTGGTAGCAATGCATGATAGAGGGGAACATAATTGAAGAGAAAGAGAGGAGAGAGAGAGAGAGAGAGAGATAGATAGATAGATAGATAGATAGATAGATAGATAGATAGATAGATAGATAGATAGATAGATAGATAGATATCACACTGTTGAAGTCCTGAAAGACCCACACGTCTCAAGGGAGCCTACCCTGTGGTGTTGAGCACTGTTGAAACCTGGGTATACCCACTTATGTAGATAGATAGATAGATAGATAGATAGATAGATAGATAGAGAGAGAGAGAGAGAGGAGAGAGAGAGAGAGAGAGAGAGAGAGAGAGAGAGAGAGAGAGAGAGGGAGAGAGAGAGAGAGATAGAGAGAGAGATAGAGAGAGAGGGGGAGAGAGGGAGGGGGTTAAGGGGCAGAAAAAGCCACAACAGAACAAAACAACCAGACAAGAAACAGATATAGAAAATAGAAAAGTCACTAACCATGAACCCATCAAATTCCTCATTCCAAGCATCATCCTCATCGTCGGGAATGGTTGTCGGCAGGAAGGAACTCTTCATATCCGGGTCCCATGTACCCACTGCCAATAGTAATAGGACAATTGTTCAGAAGAGTTACTTTGCATTAGCTTGGGCTGGGTGTTAGCAAGGTGTAAAGACAAGTTTTACCACCCGACAGTATTACGCAATCATACATTTTTGTTGATGAGGAACCAACCCTAGCTTCCAAATACACAAACGCGAGGAATACGCAACAATTCGTACAAGTATGACAAACACTAGGTAGTAGTGCATTGTATAAGAATTTTGTCCTCTTTTCATTCCCTCAAACTAATGAGTATTTGATGCATTGGGGCTCCCCGCATACTACAGTCAAACCTCGTTAGGACGAGCTTCAAGGGACCGAACAATTTTTTTCTTATACGGAGTTCTTGTTATCCAGATCTGCCAAAAAATTGATATGCATATCATATGGATTGCATTTATGTGAAGGTGCATGCTGTGGCCAACGTAAAACAATTTTCATAACATAACCCAGCAACAGGTAAGAACAATGTGCAATGAATTCGTGACTGCATTACATCCGCCTTGTAACATGCTTTGCCAGTACAAGAGGAGGCCTGAGGCCTCGACTATCGGAAAAAAAAACTACAGCCAGCGTACCGACGGGGACCGAAAGTTCGTACTACACGTTCATTTTGTTCAAATCGCGCTTGAAATTAGTTCGTCTTCACGAAAGTTCGCCGTACAGAGTTCGTCATAAACGAATAATATTGACTTGATATGATGCCTGGCCAACAATAGGATTGGCCCTTGTTCGTACTAAAGGAAAGTTCGTCTTATTAGTGTTCGTCCCAACGAGGTTTGACTGTATTAAAATAACTCGGGTATGTGTGTGGCAGTGACGGCTGACCCTGTTCTCCTGTGTAGCTTCCTTCATTGAAGTATGCGGCAAGGAGACCATATTTTGAATGAGGGACCCTAGTACTTTACCTTTTCATTCCCTAAAGTTGATGAAAATGGAATATAGACAAAAATGCACTGTACTCATACTTATCATTAACCTTTTTCATGCCAAGGAGTAGTCAACTCCTTTACTACATCGCTGGTAACGTGACCATCCCACGAAATGAACGTCTTCGGTTTCTTCGGTGGTGGACTAGCGTCGTCCTCAGCGGGACTCTTCCTCTTCCTACCTTCACGGATGTCAATCATTTCCCTGAAGTTCACCACCTGTACACCTAGAAGTATGATGCACATGTACACACGCACGCATGCACCCGTATCAAAATTTGCATATATACCAGATAGGCCTCATCATGTGATGGGTCCAAAGGCATTTTAAAAGCAGTAAGCAAAACGTGCCGCTCATGCGCGATATGCTTGAAATGCGTCGCAATCAAAAACTGATTATATGTCAAGCCAACATAAAAGAGAGGATCATTAGCAAGCATTTGTGATACAAAGAGTTGCATGCTCTGGGACGTTACAAACTATACACTTACAAATGCATACACTTTAACACTGTACATAAATCTAGGCTTGAAATGAATTCACCATTAGGCTTTTCAGTGAGCGTGGCCAGTAGCAAATACTTCACGGGGGAAGAACTTTTGTAGAACACAAACGCTTCTTTTCCCGTCAACAGCCATCCTTAAGGTGCGCAACACCAATCCTATTCAATCTATTTGCACTGTACAAGCTGACAGCCATCCTAGTTGAGCCTCCAGATCCGAAAAGAAAGCTTATGTAGCTTCGCGCAGTGGTGAGAAGACTGCATTCGAAAGGTGAGTTTTCCATGTAAAGCGATGTACCGTCAAGCCTCGTTAGGACGAACTTCAAGGGACTGAACAAGACTGTTTGTCTTATCCGGAGTTCTTATCCAGATCTGACAAGAAAACTGATATAAAGATTGTATTTATCTGAAGGTACATGCTGTGGCACATGTACTTCAAGTAAAGCATTTTTTTTAATAACATAACCCAGCAACAGGTGAGTAGAATGTGCATTGAATTCATGACTGCATGTCCTCCGCCTTCTAACATACGGTCAATTCGTTTTGCCCACGCAAGAGGCTTGACTATTGGAAAAACTACAGCCAGCGCACCCACGGAGACCGAAAGTTCGTACTACGCGCTGATTTTGTTCAAATCACATTTGAAATGAACTCGTCTTCACGAAAGTTTGCCGTACGGTAGTTCATCGTAAACGAACAATTCGGACATAATATTATTATGATGCCTGGCCAGCCAAAGGATTAGACCTAGCTCGTACCAATGGAAAGTTCTCCTTATCAATGTTCGTCCTGATGAGGTTTGCCTGTAAACGAACTTATACAAACGCCCATCACTCTGTGATAGATGAAGGTTTTGGACTTTGGTTTTTACACAGTGGTCTCCTTGATGACAGCAAGGTCATGCTACAGATAACTAAAAAAGTCCCCATTTTTGGTTCTAGAAGATTATTTGGTACTTCCTCCAGCATTACATTTCACCTAGAACATTAACGACCAAGCTTGGCCACACCAAACACGACACGTTGCTTCAACAATTTCAACATAACTATACTATCTTTCTGTACACACAGATTACGCTTGTACAACCGCTGATAAATGGCTTCCGAAACTTTTAACTGTAGTCCATAACCATGACAACCACGGCACAATACAGTGAAAGAAGAGTCGGAATACGAATTGCAACAATCCGGACTAGCTAGTAGATGATTATGTGTTATAATTATGTTATCACTTTGTCCTTCCTTCTTTCTTTCTCTTGTTTGTTCATTTTTCATTTGCAAGTTTAATGCTAGCACACGCATTCAAGTTCGCTCTCACTTTCATTGTTATAATTCACATTTGTAAATTTCACTGCTGTTGTTCTTGGTGTTATTTCTCTAACTTAGATTTTCCATAATACATTTAGTTAAATTTTGTTTCAGTGTCCTTTAGTACAACGACGATTCCTGAGGAGTCTTGTACAAAAACTTGTTTGAATCCGAATTTTTCTCTACACTATTTCTTCATATTTTCATTGTTTTATTGCACATTGTCTACACCGTTTAACATTGCATGAATAAAGTATACACAAATGTCGATTCAGCTTGTGTTATCGATTGCGGTTATCAAATTATTGGCTCCTCGCCGTTTGTTTAAATTTATTATTTTGTGATTTTTGCAGTGTGTGTTCGCGCGAGTGTCCTTCATAAATATTAGGGGTCCGATGGTGAGCCTCGCTCTATTATTCATGTTGCATTGTTGGCAGAGTTGTAACTATGCTGTTTAGCCGTGCCATTCAGATTGCAATGTTCCTTGTAACTCTTAGTTTATTGGGCCAATTTTGTGAAGGATGTTTGGCCCGCCGTTGTTGGCAATGTTTATGCTAGCTTGAGTATTGCGTATAACTAATACTTTAGAAGTAAAGGAACATGATAACTGTAGTGCATGTTAGTATAACACTTTTATGAGATCCGTGCGTGGTGTGTGTGCGTGTGTGTGTGTGTGTGTGTGTGTGTGTGTGTGTGTGTGTGTGTGTGTGGTGTGTGTGTGTGTGTGTGTGTGTGTGTGTGTGTGTGTGTGTGTGTGTGTGTGCGTGTGTTCGTGTGTGTTTTCTTCTCCCTCAGTCATTTTCTCTATTTTTGTCATCGTCTTCTTTGTTTCTGCAAGGTCGCTGTTCTTTTTTATGGAGGGGAGGTATGTTAGGTACCTCCTCCGGTACAATCTTATCTACAACCTTTCCAAAGCTGGCCTGCATGCACCCTGTACTTACCCCCGTACCCACCTTTCGTTCCATTGGCCTGGGCAGCTATTTGCGCGCCCATATTTGCCGTAGCTACCCAGGCCATTTATCTTGGATTCTCTACGACTCGATCTCTCTCTTCCATAATGCAGTTGTGTAGTTCGTTCGTCTCTTCGTCTCCCATTATAGCTGTCTTTCCCCCTAACCGTTCCTGTGTCCGTTGTGTCTGGGGAGAATGACGTCTTATTGTAACTCAACTTCGCTAATAACGACTGCGGATATAACGCCAGAATTTCCATGCCCAGAGCAAAGTCCCATCTAGCTATATAAATGTACATTTATCTTCGGATAGAACGGCTATCTGACTATTTTAGTGCATCGAGGTCATATTTACTGCTTGAGTAACGACTTTCTGAGCTTATGACAACCATTTCAGGTACGTGTCATGCAGAACCCATGGCGATGAATAACGGCACACATGCAAGAAGATGCAGCCAAGGACTCAAGGAGGGGGGGGTTCTTTCTTTTTTTAGGCCACACGTTTTTATTTCTATGTTTCTCGCCACCCGAAAATCTAAAATCATATGCGAGAGGTGGAAAAAATGAAAAATAACCGAAAAACAAAAAAAGTTTACTAGAACTTTGGTCATACTAACATCGACCAATACACCTTGTAAAATAGCACGTGCAGCTAGATTGCGCAACAAACTGTATGCAGTGTACTGTGCTGTGTAGCACGCACAGCATGCACGGCATGCGTTGGCCGAAACTTGAAAAGATCCGCGCACTTGTAGTCACTACACGGTAAGTCAGTCTCGAGTACAACGCTAGCGACCTCGTATCATGTGGCGCGCAGGCCAGGGTGCACATGTGCATGTGCTGATTCCCAATGTGCGGCACAGTTTTTTTTCTTCCAGACTCCTGAATCGTATGCGCGGGTGACGAAAAACACAGCAATAAAAATGCCTGGCCATATTTTGCTTCAAATAGTTGGAGTGATCAGCACAACCACATGCAGCTGTACATGATTTCGGTGTACAGAAATAATCATACATGTACGTGTACATGTCCCTGTAGATGGCTCCAAAAGGCTAATTTTTCAATTTTTTCCTTTGCATATTGACTTTACAGTTCCTTTCATTTGCAATATGAAAATAAAGTACACATTGACATAATGTTACGAGTTATGACTCATAACTAACTGTCCACCAACGTAACCAGATCTTATACAGTCAGCGAGTGCGACAGTCATAACTTGTTACATTTTGTCCTGCATTCTCGTACCGGAAGGCCGTCGCTAGCAGCAGTGAACCCTTGTTTTAGTACCTTGCGTGAAGGTGTTTCAGTTCGTATTTTTATTGATGTTTTATTTTGGTCAATATCTAAAGAACGGAGGGTTTCTGGACCAAGCTGTTGTAGTGGGTGAATGAGGTCCGCCTAGGGACAAAAGGAGCCAACTTTGAGCACAATCGGAAATTTGGCCATGTCCGGTTGCAGTCTGGTTGCAGTCATATGCGAACGATGTGGGCTGGCACGAAAGCCAGAAAAAATACGCGCTCTGGGGCAAAATATGAATTTGTTTGGTGCGGAAAGAGAGCTGCGAGGCCACCACGACTTCCGTAACAACTAGACATTGCGTAGGAAGGGTCGTACCAATGTTCGAGCACAGAACAGCGATTCAGACAGATCGACTAAGACAAGCAAGTCACAAACATTGCGATGTGCAAAGCCACAACTGTAATGACGCGGAGGAAGTATTCAATATGAATGTCTGTATTGTACAGTTGCGGCAAGCAAAGTTTTGCTATGTGATCCACGGCATGCAACACCCGCGACAAGCTGCAACCACGACACACGATTCACAATCTTTTCTATTGGTTTCTGCATCATCATCATCACCATCATCATCATCATCTGCTGTGCATAGTACATGCAGGTGCACCCAGCCTAGTAAACTGTGCTCCATTGATGTTAGCTGCAGTGTGCCACATGTCGCAAAAGTCTAACGTTGGTCAACTGCTCCGACAGTGGCCTTGCGACTGTTTGCAGCAGTACGCAACAGGCAATTCTTTGTCGCAAGTGCTGCATGTCGTATGTCGCATCGCAGAAAGTGTTATTGTGAATTGTGCTTTACGTAACAGCCAATCTCACCATTCTCACTATCCCGTGGTTTCGTAGACCTCCCGACAATACTCTTCTTCTTCTTCTTCTTTTTTGATTGAGGACTGATGGTTGGGCTAGACAAGGATGCCTACACAAGAAAACATAGTAGTGATAAGTAGTGATGAATGATCACTGTTAGCAAAAATTTATGACAAAAACAAAAACTACAACAACAGCAGCTGCTGCAGAGCCACTGCACTAGTACACAAGCAGACAGAAAAATAGGTCATTCCCCCACCCCGCTCCCATAACATGATACCTCATTTACTTGGTCAAAGTTGCAATTTTCATGACGATTTTATAGGTCAACATTGCCTCAGTAACCCATGCCTGGAAGTTTCCATTTTCATACAAACTGTAGTACAATGTAGGACAATTTGCTTTCAAGATGTGCTGCAGCATATACACTCAGCGTATACAACTGAAACCAGCGAGGGTTTGACTTGAGAAAATATCATGCATGCTTATAAAAGAACACCTGTCCAAATAGTGTTCAGTGCACTGGATGCACTTCTCCATTCACCTGGTTGCTTAGTAACTGAAACACAGAGGAACAACCCAGTCGTAAGCAGTTTCGATTCCCTGCATATATACATACACACTAACCATCGGTCTTACCTGTTGCTCGCGTCGCTTCGGGGATTTGGGGGACACGATCTGTCGGGAAATATTCTTCCTTAGGACAGCAGAGCCAAGCTCTAGCGAGCCAGAACCTGCAAATCGTGTCAGCAACACAAGAGCAGGAAATACCATGCGCACAAACAGCAACAAACAAACAGCTAATGAGGACACAGAGAGCAACTGCAACACCAATGACCAGGCTTGTTAGCAAGAAAAGTTACACGGTACACGTCTAGCAGACCCTTTGAACAGCTATAGTGTTGATGTGCAGCGATAAATGTGTGATACAGCCTGGAGAAGGATAGTTAATAGTACCGTCCGTACTCACGTGATGGGGCACTATTTTTTCAATGTCCATCACAGATGGGGCACTATTCAAGAGAGGGTAATATTCAAGAGAGGGCACTATTCAAGAGAGGGCACTATTCAAAAGAGGGCACTTTTTCTTCAATGTTGGTACATTGACGTAATCCAGCGTAAAAACAAAGAAGTCAAAGAAAAACAGAGCCTAACGTTTAATGTTAACTATCACGACTTCGCAGAATCGGCAACAAAAACTATGATTATGATCCTGAAACAACCAGTGTAATGACATGGACAAGAACATTAGCAAACAAACACCAAGCTGGCACATGTGCTTGGTTACAGGCCGGGGGGGGGGGGGCACTATTCAAAAGAGGGCTGTATTTTTTCAATATTCGAGAAGGGGCACTATTCGAGAGAGGGCTCTATTCGAGAGAGGGCACTATTCGAGAGAGGGCTCCCATCCCGCAAGTACGGTATTCTCCCATACTGAATGATTCAGGAGGGCAATCGCAGCAACACTATACATACGACGTCCATGCGCTTTTTCAGGCAGACCATCGTGGTTGTGTCGTGGCCCTGCCAGTGCATCAATGGCATCAGCTCTCGAGTCATACATGATCCTGATAAGGACAAAAGGGCAACACAGAATGCTATTATTATTATTATGGAGTTGGCTTTATTTCACTCACGTTGTCATGACATGAGGTAAGAACCCCATCACCGGGCCAAAAGAGACCAAGGGTAATGAGAGAAAAAATAGATAAATGGCCAACGCAATGGAGACCGAAGCAAAAAGGATTGTAAAAACCAAAGCAAAAATATTGAAAGCCGACGCAGAAACTGAGAGACGGACAGAAATAAGCAGAATGATGGAGGAGGCCAGGACATATTCGAATACAAAAAGATGGAGGAGGACAGGACATATTCGAATACAAAAAGAGTAATCACAAAAATGGACTACCAGTACAGGAATAGACCTGTAGAAATAGAGGAAGAGATGAATGCCGGACATACTCAAATGGCAAGAGAAAAATCAGGCTGTGAGGACCGTCATACTGCACATTCATGGATGTCAAAGCAAATGCAGTATTGGAGGTTTATACGGACTAGCTCTACCCGTAACATGAGGAGCCTAATGCCGGATGCCAAGAACCGACTTGACGATGTTCAGCGTGCCCAGGATAGCACATTGCTGAGCCCTTTCAATGCGCAGAGTGCCTGCCAATGCCAACACAAAGTGTGAGAGGGACACACCAGTCAGTCCACCAAGCGCCCCAACAACCAGGGGCACAACGCGGACATCATCCACATGCCAGATGCGCCACAGCTCTTGGCAAAGGGGAGCGTACTTTGTTATTTTTTCGTGGATTTTTGTGGGCACATTCTGGTCCAATGGAACCCTGACATCCATCAGCAGCACCTGTGTGCTGGACCGCAACACCAGGTCTGGACGGTTGTGGCGCACTTGCGTATCCGTTGGGATATTGAACTCCCACAGGAGCTTCATGTCAAGATTTTCCGTGACAGGCACAAGATGATGCTTCAGCGGGTTGCTTCCCGGCCGACCCAGACCATGCCGCTTGCATAGTGCCCAATGCACCAACTTGACGAGCGTGTCATGCCGTTCGATATACAGTGTTTTGGCTAGGGCTGGGCAACAGGCCACAATGTGATCAACTGTTTCTCCGCGAGTGCCGCAAACTCGACAAATGTCCACAACGTCTCCCCGTCCAATCACCGTGACCTGATAGTGCCTGGTCGCAATGGCCTGATCCTGTACAGCCAGCAAGAGTCCCTCTGTCGCAGGCCTGATCGTTGGCGATTTCAGCCAGCGAAAACTCAAGCCCAGGTTCAAGCCAGCATCAGAAGCTCGTCTCCAGAACTGGCCATGGAGAGGCTTGCCTTGGATAACGGCCAGGCACCGGAGAGCAACGGCCTTCTTGACAATGACTTTTGTGGCAGTCTCCAAGTCGGGTAGGTTAAGTTCACCCAGAAGTCTGGAGGCTTGACGTGTAACTGATTTTGACGGTGCCACATCATTGTCGTGATGGCGCTTAACAGCAGCCAACAGTGGCACGTTTGGGTGGGCTTGTAGGTACCGCGCCACCCGGACACGGGTTCTATCCAGGAGATCCCGGAATGATAGAATTCCTCGACCACCCATGTCACGAGGCAGGTGGACCCTGGTGGCAGAGTCCTTGGGGTGGCGGGCGTGTTCTTTAAACAGTGCTTGGCGGGTCTGTCGGTCGAGTTCCTCTATCTCTGCCTTTGTCCACTCAACGATGCACAGGGAGTAGAGGATGACTGGAATGGCAAAGGTGTTGATGGCTTTGACCAAGTTCCTGGCGTTCAATTGAGACGAGCATATCAATTGAAGGCGGCGGCCGAACTCAGACTTTGCCGTGGTCTTCAATTCGGTGGCGTGAAAATGTGCTGATTCCGGGACACCAAGGTACCTGTAGGATTCCTCCGCCTGCAGCTTAGCAATAGCGTGACCCTGGAGTGTCTGGAGAGCAGACTGCTGATCGCTCTGGGCTCTCCCCCGTTTCAAAGTGAGCCAGCTAGACTTTGACGGGTTGAAATGCATACCAATGCAGTCGCCCATTGACTCCACAACATTGGTCATGGAGAGCAGATTATTGTCGTTTCGGGCGAAGAGCTTCATGTCGTCCATGTACCACAGGTGCGATACAGGGCACACCTGGGCCAGTGGGCCACAGCGGTAGCCAAGACCCGTCCTGGTCAACTCGCCACTGATCGGATTTAGAGACAGGCAAAATAGTTTATTATTATTATTATTATTATTTATGAAAGGATTGGGAGAACTTCAAATTCAAAGGAACAGTAGGGGAAGTGAACTGTCTGAAAAGAGAAAAAATTGCCAGACCCACCAGGACTCGAACCCGGGACCTTGCTTGTCATGAGCAATGCTCTAACCACTGAGCTATGGGACCGGGCTGAACCTAGAAGGCGCTGACAAGTTTTTCACTCCAAAGGCAGCTCACAACACGTGCCACACATACTGATGGCACTTGGGTCTTTCTCCCTCCCCCAGGGGACCAACCACGGTCAGTTTCTGGACCCTACCAGAAGTGAAAGAGAGTGATAAATTTAATGCCATCAGTATGTGTGGCACGTGTTGTGAGCTGCCTTTGGAGTGAAAAACTTGTCAGCGCCTTCTAGGTTCAGCCCGGTCCCATAGCTCAGTGGTTAGAGCATTGCTCATGACAAGCAAGGTCCCGGGTTCGAGTCCTGGAGGGTCTGGCGATTTTTTCTCTTTTCACAGTTCACTTCCCCTACTGTTCCTTTGAATTATTATTATTATTATTATTATTAAAAGAATGGATCAAAGCTGATCCCTGAGTGATTTGAATTTTGAAGTTCTCCCAATCCTATAAAATGTAATCACTTTCTTTTACCTCTGGTATGATTCAGAAACTGACTGTGGTTGGTCCCCTGAGGGAGGGAAAAACACTAGGGTTGAAACGATTATACCAAATACTCGGAATATAAATCTTTACAAGCTAACGAATTGAATATTCGAAAAGACTCGATTACTCGATTACTTGATTATGAATACAGTATACATGATTCTACACGTATGATTGTTCTCTTCTCCACAGGATCAATTTCAAAATTCTGAATTTTCGCATTTTCAGCTTCTAATACTGCTTTTATTTGTGGAAGAAATAATCAAAAAATAATCGATAACCGACCGAAAAAGGTTTAGGTTAATAATTATTGTTTCACCCCTTAAGACCCAAGTGCCATCAGTATGACATACTGATGGCACTTGGATCTTTTTTTAGGGGTGAAACGATTACCAGTCACCTAAACCTTTATCGGTCAGTTACCGGATTAGGAGGCCCGTGTCGTGAGCTGCCTTTTGAGTGAAGCACTTGTCGGCGCCTTCTAGGTTTTGCCTGGTCCCATAGCTCAGTGGTTAGAGCATTACTAACGCCAAGCAAGCTCCCGGGTCATCCATGTTCCTGATACTGAAGTCGGACACCATGTCCTTTGCCGCGACGTCCATCTCCAAAAAGAACTCCATCCCCGTCGAGTGAAAAGGCTTAAAATACTCAATATTCAACCGAGATTCGCGGTCTCACCCTTTCTCAGATCGAATCATTTTTTGTTGTAGCAGTTGCAGGGTATTTCCCCGCCACTACTTCAACAGGAGATGGCTCCAAAGCATGCCTGGAACAAGCCATATCGAGGTCGCAAGCCACCCCTCTCAGCAAGAAATTCGAAATTTCATTGGTGGAAGATATACTATGAAGAGAATTTCAAAAGGTATGTTTCGCAGAGCGATCGCTCAACCTACGTCATTCAAACTTTGCAGGATGGTTCAGACCTACATACCAGCAAGAGTACATGAAAAGCAGAGTGTGCAGCTTGGGGCCTTTTCTGCTATGGCAGTATGGGTGTCTATCACGGCGGAATTCCGTGATTACATCATATTTGGCGCAGATATATCTGAGGCGGGAAATGACGTAGTGCGTACAACTGAGCTGCAGTTGTGCAGAAAGAGACCTGCTTGAATCCTGCTTGTACGCACTACATCACTAAAATGATGTAATCACGGAATTCCGCCGTGACAGCAACCCATCCGAGCTGCACACTCTGGAGTCTGGTTTTCATGTACTCTTGATGCTAGGCATGGAACCACAGGGGATGATGCCATAGCTGACACACAGAGTCCCACACACAGCAGATTCGTGTGCACAGATACATGTACTAAATTAGTGGACGTCGTCATCTTCTTCCCGCTGATCTCAAATGTACTATGACGTGCTATTTCGCCTGACGTTGAAGGACAAATACGTCAGCACATAACGCTATCAATTAAGAAACCCTCAAGGACGCCCTAGCCTCGCCAACAGTGTCCCTATTGTGCTCCAGTTTGGCATCAAGACCACGCACAACGATTTCCTTCGGTTCGGGGCTCATACTCAATGTAAAACTGCGATTCAAACTGCACCGAACTCGTGAGATTCAAGCGATTCAAACAATTATGTACTCATACGTCATGTCACCTTTGACACGTCTTTGGGAAATGCCCTTGAATGCCTTGAAAGTTCGAAAAAAATCGCCAAACAGAAATTAAGGAAATTCTTTTCCAGAGTTATGGCTGTTTGTACAGTGATCTATCCAGTGCGTACGGTACCGTGCACTGCACAAAAACTAGGATCACTCGTCATTGCCCCGGCGCGATGGGGTTACATTACTCCTCATAAACCCGGAAGGGTGGAAGAGCCAATAACAACTCACAAATAATTAATGCTGTTCACATAAACAACTGCTTGGAGATATACCGGTTCTCCGCTCAACACTGTTATATTTCAGAAGACAGCCAGTAAGAATGCACATGCACAATGACATTCTCTGCATGACCATACATATGCCCGCACAGGCTGTGTGTCTCATAATAATAGACACACAGTGCTCTTACCTGCGGTCAACTAAGTCACTTCTTCATTTGATTTACTGCAGCAAGCAAGGACAAGGAAAAAGAACATTGTTAGCAAACATATACATGTACATGTAAAGGAACATGAGCACCCAAAGCTGCTTACCTAAGCGTTGTTGTTGGAGAAAGGCAGCAGCAGACCACACAACAAAACACTGTTAGCTTTCCACGAATGCTTGTCTTCGGCAGGAATCGCACTTATTATAGGAGAAGAAATGTGCTAAAACTGATACGAAAGTATTGCAGGCAAGGACATTGAGCGGTTGCTAGCGAGAAGTAGTGCCAGATAGTAGCTAAAGCAACACCACTGTACTTGAAAAAATAGAAACACCTTGTACAAGTTATAGGTCAGAGGCAGAGAAAGTAGCACATACTGTAGAAACATGCACACAAGACTGACAGCTAGAGGCGGCAAAAGTAATGCGATATTATGTGAGGAGCAGAAGCAACACCTTGTAAAATTTAATAGAACTAGCTGCACAACATGAAGAAAAGGACTTCCTGCTTCCGCAAGCAGTGTAGTTCAGTGCAGCTCGCGCCAAAACAGGAACGACATACATATCCAGAGCAGGTCCCTGGTTGTCGTATCTGCGAATCATCGCATCGATTTTCGTGCTCTCGCCAAACGTAACAAAGTGTGAGGATGAGTTGTGGCCGTCTAGTCCATAAAATCTGACCTTGCACAGAAAAATGAAACACCACAGCAACTGCTAAATTAGTGGTGGATCCATATGGTGGTAAATACACACCTGGCAATATGGCGGTAAATACATGCCTGCCCTCATACGATCTCTAAGCTGCAAAATGTTCTGGCACAGAGGTCTTCTTCTCAGCACCACCACCATCAGTTTGCGCATGGCGCCTAGTCGATACACACCTAGCAATATGGTGGTAAATACACGCCTGCCCTCGCACGCTCTCTAAGCTGCAAAGTTACTGTGAGCTCTCCTTCTCACCACTATCACCTTCAGTTTGCGCATGGCGCCTAGTCGATACACACCTAGCAATATGGTGGTAAATGGTAAATGCATGAGCTCTCCTTCTCGCCACCGCCACCACCATCAGTTCGCGCATAGCGCCTAGTCGATGCATGGTTGGCGGTATCCGACATAGTAGCCTGGTACATCAGGCTGGTACATCAGGCTGGTCCATCAGGCTGGTCCATCAGGCTGGTCCATCAGGCTGGTCCATCAGGCTGGTCCATCAGGCTGGTCCATCAGGCTGGTCCATCAGGCTGGTCCATCAGGCTGGTCCATCAGGCTGGTCCATCAGGCTGGTCCATCAGGCTGGTCCATCAGGCTGGTCCATCAGGCTGGTCCATCAGGTTGGTCCATCAGGCTGGTCCATCAGGCTGGTCCGGCTCAGGCTGGTCCGTCAGGCTGGTCCGTCAGGCTGGTCCGTCAGGCTGGTCCATCAGGCTGGGACATCAGGCTGGTCCATCAGGCTGATCCATCAAGCTGGTCCATCAGGCTGGTCCATCAGGCTGGTCCATCAGGCTGGCCCATCAGGCTGGTCCATCAGGGTGGTACATCAGGCTGGTACATCAGGCTGGTATATCAGGCTGGTCCATCAGGCTGGTCCATCAGGCCGGTCCATCAGGCTGGTACATCAGGCTGGTACATCAGGCTGGTCCATCAGGCTGGTACATCAGGCCAGTACACCAGGATAGCCGGATGCGTCCAGCGGGGACGGAACGAGTGTCGCATCTCGAGCATCCTTGATGGAGAGGTCGGCCTGCTCTGCTTAGGAGCTGTGACCTGGAGCACACAGAGTGTGAACCGGTAGTGATTGAAATGAGCCAGCTGCAAAGATTGACTGCCCATTCCCAATACTGTAGAGGGAGACAATTTCGTCGGTCAATAATTTCGTCCAACTCGAAAGAAAGGGAGTTCGTCCGGTTCAAAATTTCGTCCATTGATCATAAGAGTGTATAGAAAAGATGGACAAATCGACACTAGTCCGGCATTTAATTTAGTCCAAAGGTTCGTTGGACGAAAAAGACGAAATTAAATTCCAGACGAATATTTCTGCTTGTACAGTATGCCCAGTATGGCACGCGGGAAATAGTGAAAATACGATTGTTGTATTGTGCTGTACTGACAGCCACACAGTAATGCTAAAAGTATTCAGTTCAGGCACAATGTGCTCACTGACCTACAGATACCACTGATGACGTTGAACTGCAGCTAATTGACATGACACTTTCAGAGTGTCAGCTATAGCAGCCTGGATGTAGCATTGGACTGCGTCACTGCGCCATCTACCCATGACAAGGATGATGTGCCAGCTGCGGCTCAAGTGTTGCTTCCTCTGGCGGTGTCCAAACACACGCACATGCAAACACACACATGTACACATGTGTATGTGCACACACACACACACACACACACACACACCACATACACACACACACACACACACACACATACACACACACACACATACGCCACATACGCGCATACACACACACACACACACACATACGCCACATACGCGCACACGCACACGCACACACATAATATACACACAGTGATTAAACTAAACACAATCCGTACAGCAACTTGCTAACTTACTGCAGGAAGTCTTTGCGTTCAAGTCATTTTCAAGTCAGCCCTACCCCTGACCTGAAGATGAGCCGGCAAACATGCCGCACAGTGCATGCTGATGGATATACTCCTCCCGTTTGGCACGCATACTCGACATCTATGATGCCAGAACAAAGAGTAATAACGAATCAGTGTGCTGAAGTTTCTGTTCTTGGACAATGCAAATTTGCACAATAGTAGAGTAATTCCAACAATGAACTTTACTCAGAACACTTTCGTGTTCCCATGGTATACTAAAACACATTAGAATGAGGTCTGTCTCGTTGTCCAGGAGACGACCAATCAGTGACGTTGCCGCCAAGGGCCCTATCAGAGTACGGTGCAGATAATGAACTCTGCGTGAAATGTATGGTGTACTACTAAAAGCTAAGCATTTCAGAATGGTGTACGGTTTTTGCCTCCCGTACTCTTTAACTGTACGATTCCCCTTTGTCAACAGCTGGCGGAACCCTATAAAAACCGAAGATCAAAGGCATTATATGTATCGAAAAGGGTCTCTAGAAGCCCCTAAATAGCTCCGCAAGCTACATATATGGATAAGAATGAGGAGCATGGCGAAGGCCCGTCGCGACGATTTGGGAGAGGAGCGGTGGTGACAGCGGGTGAATTCCCCCAGTTGGGACTCCCATTTCTGTCCGCCGCTACGCTTGGACGGTCAATGGCAGCAAGCAGAATGTGTCGCTATCGAGCGCTGGCGGAACCGGTCGGTCCACACAGCGGGCGTGATGTAACGGCCAGCGGAGGTCTGTCGCTCGAGAGAACACCTGAGGGGACTCTGCGGGGACAGTCGTCGTGGTGCGTGCATGCCATCCTGTGATGCATGGGCTAGGGCTGTGCTGTCGAGCTGCGACCATTCACGTGAGCATGAGGGCGTTCAGTATTCATAATACTTATTTTATACCCAATGCTGTAGACAGCAAGCTGTTTCGGCCATAAAGGCCTCATCAGTACAGCTACGAGCTAAATAGGCCGAGCTACTTATTTTATATTAATTAATATTCTTGTTTAGTTGCTTGCCAAAACTCTTTTCTTTTTCATGATCAGTTACGAATTTACACGCTCGTAGTCTGTATCTGTGCTGCATTATCGAGCCATGCAAAATGTTAGCAGCTTGTGATTGGACGAATACAGTTTCTCACCTGCTATTTTCCTAGAACCAAGGGCTTTGAGAATATTCTTGGAACTTTTCAGTGTTACACCTTGCCTAGTTTCTTTCTTGCGCCCATAATAATTACACCGTATAAAATCAGTATGCCATGCCAATTACAATATCAGTATCACCTTCTCTGACGAGCCTTTGATAGGCGAAACAGCTGTCAGAAGGAAATGTTTTACCCGTGACCCCTTCGTTGTTTGAAGTTATTGGTGTGAGTAATGGCTGCCGAGGGTAGCAATGGTCGGCTTTAGAGCGCATGGAGGAGGAGAGTTAGTATATTGTATTATTCAACAGCCGAAAGGTACCGTTCAACAGTTTATTGATAAGAATGAAGCTCGCAAAAAGAATGGACTCGGATGGAGAGCCAAGGATTAATTTACACAAAAAGAGAAAGGACCAAGGAACTACAAGTAACTCGTAACTTTAGTAACTGGTGGTGTTAGTGGACAGTTAGCGTAACTTGTAGTTTCTTGGTCCTTTCTCGCAATAAGAGCTCAGCATTTCATTTGCCTCTATTCTCATTTTAGTACTCCTCAGTGGTGCTGAGTTACCATAACACACGAATTCTCTCTGCACACAAACCACAAAACTACCCAGTACAGTAGAGTCGCGCGCCCAAGAGCGTTGTTTTTTTTTGGGGGGGGGGGCGGATTTTGCAAGGGAATTTCTTATTTTGTCAGCAATCTGGCTGCGTCCTTATAGCGCGTTCTTAGAAACAGTGCGTACTGGATCATATGTATCCCACAAGCTGCCAGAAAACCAACACCGCCGCTCTTAGCTTAAGGCTGTGGCGTTCTTAGTATTTCAGGCTGGACGTTCTTGGGCTCCACGTTCTTCAGCGCGCGACTCTACTGTATAAGGGTGACTCTACTGTATAAGGGTGACTCTACTGTATAAGGGCGACTCTACTGTATAAGGGTGACTCTACTGTATAAGGGCGACTCTACTGTATAAGGGTGACTCTACTGTATAAGGGCGACTCTACTGTATAAGGGTGACTATACTGTATAAGGGTGACTCTACTGTATAAGGGCGACTCTACTGTATAAGGGCGACTCTACTGTATAAGGGCGCAAAAAACATAATGCAAGTGCAAGTGAGAGGTAATACAATCATATACATGTGACCTCGTTCTAAAATAGTTAGTGCATGGCAGGGAGGGCCATATGGCTTATTTGTGCCCTTCAGGTTAGCCTGCGGCCCTCAGGCTAACCTGTCGGCCACTAACAAGCCATAAGGCCCTACCTGCCATGCACTAACCCATAAATAGGCACACTTGATGATTCACCAAACACCATCGTTAGAGGCCAAGTTTTCCGGCACCAGTGAGTTGTTCGTCCAGCAACAAGCGAAACCATTTATTTTTCTTCAACACTTTGTAGAGCAGCCGTGACAAGGCCTTTCCTTCACGTTAGGGTAGCGATCCTTCCTAGATGCTATCGCCATTGAACATTTGAAGTATAAACAGCTACTATTTTTACTACGACGATACTAGTGTTTCTCCGAAAATAAAGTCAGCTCCCATTTCTACTACAGTAGAGTCAGGCGCTGAAAGACGTGGAGCCCAAGAACATCCAGCCTGAAATACTAAGGGTGCGTTCGAATTGTCACTCCTTGACTTTTCGAGGAGTTTCGTTTTTCTGAAGAGGTGGCCTTATTGGCCTCTTCAGAAAACGAACTCCTCGAAACTCCACATCCTCACCCGATGGGAGAGGTGGATTAGTTTCGAAGAGTTTGGAATAGCTACGTCACCGGGGCGTACTACGTGGAGATGGTCGATCTGATCGGACGTCATCATCGCCATGACAATTCCACTGAAAAACTCTAAAAATAAAAATAATGATAGAAACCGTTCTAATGGGACGCTTCAACTAATCTCTTTATAAAATTTGTTTGAACAGTTGACGAGAGAGCTTGGAAGCTCAGGGCCCTATGCTATGCTTTTTTGCCTAGCTCATCGTGCATGTGAACTGATGGAAATGTTTTTTCCTTTGATTGGCTACACCATTGGGTTTATCGGGTGTTAGCGGCCGTCGTGAGTTCCCTTCGGGAACGGACACGATGATTTACTTTTTTTACTTATTGTCTCCCTATTTCTTTCCAGAAAGTCTCCCGATACATCAGGCAGTCGTATACATAATACGACGAATATTGTGGCCACCTGTTTGTGGCCAGCTGTGTTTGATGGTACGGTACGGTACGGGACAGATACAGGAGCCAGAAAATATTGTGGCCAGCTGTTTGTGGCCAGCTGTGTTTGATGGTACGGTATGGTACGGGATAGATACGGGATAGTGGATAGCGCCAGGCGTGACACAAACAAACAAATAAACAAATACCAAATTAAAGCTGTGTGGACCCTGGCTAGCCCCAGACGTTACTGAAGTAACGTTTTCTGCATAGCTACGGAAATGAAGACAATTCGAATGGTTGATGGAGACAATTCGAATGCGGCCTAAGAACACTACAGCCTAAAAAACTGACCTGCTTCGTAATTTAGGTGAGAGTCATGGCGGATCGAAGCAGAAGACGGTCGCTAGCTCAAATTGCTGTGGGCTTCTCCCCAGAGGTTTCATCCGAACTCCTCTTACTAGAGATCCCCTGCCAGACCACCCCACACTACCCCAGCTGAAATGTGAAAGCTTTTTCACAAGGCGTTCACAAAGCCTGGTGGCAAAGCTGCATACAGTACGTTTGGCAGGATTTGGAAAATATACTGCCAAAATATCACCGATTATGAAACAATCATGAATGTTTGCAGCAGATGTAGACATACAATCATGTACCGTATTATCTCTAATTATAAGCACAGTCTCCAATAATAGCACGTCTCCAATAATAGAACACCTTGGGGCGGCATTCAAAAAATAAAGTGCTCAGTCTCATAGACATAAGCACACTGTGTAAATTCATTATCATTCTGTACCGGCAAAAAAACCCTGAAATGTGTGTGTCATACATGAATTTGGCATGGCAACATGCCTCTGAAATGAGGTTGAAATAATAATGGAACAGTCTCCAATAAAGGAACGTCTCCATTAATAGCACGGGGCGGAGGTACATTGAAAAAATAAAGGAACGTGCTTATGTTAGAGATAATACGGTAACTGTAAAGTTCGATCCTTGAACTTTGTTACTTATTTCGAGCACACACACCCAACATGCGAGAGCATTCTATTCTGACTTCACTTCTTGGGAACATGAACAACAAGAACAAAGAAATGCAAATCACTCCAGATTATCAGCACTGGACGGAAGGTGCTAGAAGCAGTAGAAGAAGATAGAAGGATCCAGAACCGGATGTGTACAATACGATGACAAGCTAGACCACTGGTTGCTTGATCATGAACGTGTGTCATGTGCAGGTAAGCCGTACATGGATGGAGTGTCATGCGATGGCATAGCAAGGCACTAGATGACTGTGCATGATAATTTCAAGCAACACAATCATATAATTTCCCATTTCACAAGCAATGGAAAATTGTGTAGTGAAGTGGGAATTGTATAAGGAGTTGGAGGTGCGATATAACTATGTC